TAAAACACAACTCTGGTCACCAGCACGAGCATCTTGCCACCGACAGCTCACATATTGATGCTTTTCTCTCTTCCTGATACAGCGGAGCCGTACTACCTATTAGGCCGCCTTCACATCAGTGATCAGCGATGGCACACAAGTTAACTACATGGATGCTGCTGATCTTACACCAACAAGTCAGCTACTCGGCTCCTTTGCAGGAGGACTGGGCGCTCCTCCTCATGGGATTGCTCGGACGCTGCAGCCTGTCACTTATCCTCAAGAACCCGTCATCACCCATGAAAGGACCCAGACCGCACACCGACGATCTCTTCGGGACAGCTATCCCTTGATTCAGAACCCTGATCTCGCCAGGGTAGGCCTGGCACCGGGTTGAGATCAGTAGCAAGTTCCTTAGTGCACAGAGAATTCAATAATTCCAAGTTGCTGATGACGCAAGAGGGCATCCTGGCGGCTGGTGCGGGACATAGCCAACCACTGCTGTCGGGCATCGTGGAGAGCCGTGCAGCTTCCCCCTGTCCGATGATCATATCATGAATATAGGGGGCCACGTAAATCGGAAGTTTGCAATCAGGAAGTTGAATATGGGGGAGTCAATGCTGGAAACGTCAAAGGCGCAGCTGACTTGTATCAACCACAGGCCTGTTTCTTCAGCCGAGAAGGCAGAACACCGGAAAGATTCCGGCGACGCCGCGGCCTGTGTCACTCCGGGGTCCATCGCCGGACTTGATAGCTTGCTTTCGGCCATCTTCACTTTACGCGCTGGTGGATCACGTCGGGTCCCTCAATCTCCCTCTAAACACCGTTCCGTAACGCTAGAAACGATGGCAGCAATTGCCATGATAATTGTCATCAGCTGACAACCAAAGTACCCGTGCAGGGCCACACAAACGTGTGTGCTTGCACCACATAAATCGTGCTGCCAACTGACTGCTTCCGGCTGAGTGGCAGAGGCTATCACTTCTGCGTTAGTTGCGCTAATCCAGTCGGAAACATCGGTGTGGTCATCTTGTAGGTGCCGACCCGGAGCTAGCAGACAGGAAAACACGTCCACAAGAGCGGGACCGATCGTGCAGATCGAAATCTCGATTTAAGGATGCTTGTTTTTTATATCACACGGCACTTGTCTGCAGATATACCAACGGAGAGTGGCGACCTCCTTCCAAGGTCTAGTTGTTTCTTCGCCATCAGTGGACAAACCATCACCGAACAGTGACCGCAGGTTAATAACTTACAAGACTGTCCACCACAAGCACAGTGCAAAGAAACTATATCCCTCATACAACACCACATCTATCTATGCATGCAACAACGCTTGTTTGGGCCACCTAGCGTGGCTCACTCGTCGACCCTGCACCGCGCCTGTCCGACGCCATCACTCTGGTCTGTGGCGGGGTTAGGCTTCTTGGTGTTATACTAGACCGTCGACGTTCTAGACGAGAAGCCATATAATACTATGGGGACGTCGGATTCCTGACAACTCACCAGTGCTTCTTGGCAGGTGGCATATTCTGTCCAGTGTTATTCAACGACAAACACGGCGATATCGCAAACGACATTGACCACGAAGAACAGTTCCGGTCGGTAGTCATGACCGTCCAGGATGTCAAGCACCTCGGTGCTGTCAGTGTCACACGTGTCATCGGCACATCGCTGGCTGGCGCTGTGGTACAAAGCCGGGATGGATGTGGGATCCAGCCCCGTGATGTTCCTGCCGCGTCCCGGGCTGACGCCACACCCGTAAATCGCGTACCCGAATGTAGCGACGAGCTGGCTGGTGCTCGGGTTGTTGTTCCATCCACGTGAGAAATCATAAATGGATGGTGATGAACGCAATGGAACCGTCGCACTCGGCGTCAGAAGCTGAGGCCGTTTTCTGGGCTTTAGAGCACTGAGGCGCTTGTTCCAAAAAAAATATGAGTGGATAGCATGGATGCCTTGTTTTCAAGCAGGGGAAAACAACCTTCAAAACATGCAGTACAGCTTAATTTTACGCCAGTGAATGCTTGTTCGGTACGTGGTTTAATAAAAACGATTTCTAGATTTTTTAGAGCTGAAATATGTGGATGATCCAGGTGGTAATTTCAGCTGCCAGGTACTCAATTCTGAGCTGTAGGCAATGACCTTTAGCCACCAGTAAAGCTTCATCTGTTGTAGTGGTATGTCAGGATATGCTGCTTGACTGGCCTGTGGTGTATGACTTTTATAAGGCATGCGAGCCGAAATATGTGGGTCATCGTGGTGGCATTTACAGCTTTCAGACATTCGTTCCTAAGCTGTAGGCGATGATCTTCAACTGCCAGTTAACCTTTGTCGGCTGCAGTGCTGGTGTCAGGGCATATTGATTGCTTGACTTCCCTGCGTTGTTTGACTTGCCTGTCATGCCTGACTTGCCTGAAATGTCGAGTTGCCTGTGATGTCTGATTTGCCTGCGGTGTCTGACTTGCCTGTGACCTGTGACTTGCCTGTGGTGTCTGACTTGCCTGTGGTGTCTGACTTGCCTGCGTTGTCTGACTTGCCTGTGGTGTCTGACTTGCCTGTGGTGTCTGACTTGCCTGTGATGTCTGACTTGCCTGCGTTGTCTGACTTGCCTGCGGTGGGTGACTGCGGATTATCGTGAAAGGAAAATTATTTGGGCTATCCTGCATGAATGGAATAACTTGGTGGCTGAAAACCATGAGTCAGGATAGTGCATTTATAATAAACCATTGACAACCAGCATCCAAGGTCAAGCGTTTTCGATGGAACCAATGAGAACGAGGAACCGGGAACAAGGTCCATGGTGTGCTAAAGAACCAGTGGGAACCAAGGCAAAGGGGCTTTTGTCGACAGAACCAGAACCAACCGCAATGCAGGTCCTTCGTCTTATCATAACAACCAGAGGGAACCATGATCCATGGATTTGTCTTATCATAAGATCCGATGGAAGCCAAGATACAGAGTTTGGCTTTGTCAAAGCAAGCGGTGGGCACCGTTCCAGAGTTTTGCTTTGGTGAAGGAACCAATGGTTACCAACGTCCAGGATCTCGGTTCGTGGAAAAAACAGGAACCAGGATGCAGGGTTTTAATTGTCGAGAGAACCAGTGCCAACCAAGATCCATGGCTTTGTTTTGTCGAACGAACCAGTGGCCCCAAAATACTAAAACTTAGAACAGTCACACGCCTGGCCCCCAATGATCTGTAAATATGCCCCACACAAGCATATCACCTGAAAGCGCAAGATTACACAGCTTAAGACGCTTGGTCATTGTTTCGTTGCGAGTGATACCCTGTAGAAAATTTTAATTTGTCCTCTGACATCCTGACAGATGTCTCATGTCCACGAATTTGGACAGAACAAACGGGGCGTTAACATCGTTTTGATGCATCATGGGTTGCATGGCGGCTATCGCTCTCGGCTGAAAATATATCTTACAGCGCAGCCCTGGAAAATGGTTTCCGCGAACCCACAGAGTAGGAAAGACCATTTATAAAATAAAGTTAAGGATGCTCGAATTAAAAAGCCTAAACTCTACATTTGTTTCACGGTTATAACAGTAAACATAAAACGAACTTTGCTTCTGCGACACAGTGGTTCAATGGCTGATGATAAGAAAAACAAATATATGGGCAAGTATTTCAGCATTACTTTGTTACCAGCAAAAGGCTGTATTTGGCTACCAGCGAGTCAGTACCTGTGATACCTGTGATGCCTGTGATGTTTTTTTTAAAGTTTTGATCCGAACCCTTTGAATGAATGGATTTCAAAGATCAGAGCTCACGCTAAGCAGTGCTTGTTGTGTGCGCCCTGACTCCTACCACCCGATCGCGCAATTCCAAGTCAACGGCAGAATTTGGTGGTGAGAGCTTAACGTGCAGCAATGCTTGGCACGGCCCGTCCTGCCCTCTGACGTCAACTGACCTTCAACGTGACCGCTGCCACCGGCCGCAGACCATATCTGTCAAGGCAAATAGCGAGCGTCCTAAAGCGAATGGAACCCACCCCGCCACGGGCGGGGGGTCGGAAGATAGGCGCTCTAACCAAATGAGCTACTGGGACGGACAAAGCCACTCGTCAGTGCCACTGTGATGTTTAAAACGGCGTTTGCCCGTCGTTTGCAACCACTACAGACGACAGCATGAGCGTACAATGACGCATTGGTCATTTTGGTACTGAGGAAGGTCTCACGATGTTACAACATGTACATCCATTATAAGCGACTAACAGAGCTGGCATGTGAGGTGGCAGGGCGCGGACGGCTGTATACCCATCGGAAAAATTGTGGGGTTCGGGAGCCAGCAGCGTGGGATGCACTCGACTCCTACACTGTGGTGGTGGTGATTTGGTTTTTATGGACGCGTCGGCATCGGGGCCATTTTGCGCCCAGACTCCTGCACTGTTATATGTATATGCGCGTTTTCGCTGTATATTGGATCATGTGGAATATTTAGGTTCAATAAAAGGCAGGAATTAATTAAACTCTGGAATTTGTTTTCGAGTGCGTAATAAAGGCGCTGATGAGGTTATATGACTGAAGGCATGCTGATTATGGTGGGTAGTTGTTATTTTGTTTAAACAAAATGCCATTTAATGAAATATGATATTATTTCTTTTAAGATAGGCTTGTCGATTTGTAAAGCAAGCACATCCGACTCTTTTAAACAAACCAATGTTCAAGTTTGTCCACAAGTAGTCAAACGGATCGTTGTGGTTTTTAGTGGCGCATTAACTGTCTCAGCAGCATGGAGGTATGCAAATTCGGGTAATTGAAGTTGCCTAATCACGGATAAATGATGCTTAAAAATGATGACATAGAATGATTTACATGAGTTCTACTCAAAATTCACGGTATAAGTCATTTTTGTAACAAATGTTTTTTGTAACAAATGTAGCAATGTTTTTTAGCATGGGCGAAGGGAAGGCTCCTTAAGGTCAACGGCGGGTGGCACAAACAATTTAAGCACGTGAAAAGCCTCTGAATTCCTGCTCTACACTCATTCGCGTTAGGTTGGTGCTTAATCTGAACGCATATTGGCGTGAAAGTGGCTTTACTGGGAAGGGCATTGAACATCTTGACCCAATTATTGCTTTAAGTGAGCAGTTGATGCCGTTAAGTACAGTCAGCCGCTAAATATGTCGGACACGTCAGAAGAGGAGGAGGAGCAGAATACAATCGGAGTAAGTTCCTGCTCTTGCACGCTCCCATGCACGATGACGTTTATGCAAACGGATAAACATAAACGCATCAGATCTTGGCGCACGAATAGAACGTGGGATAAAACGTTCCAAGGTGGTGGGGGGGGGGGGGGGGACTCGAGCCAGCCCAGCATTCTGATCTCCCACGTGGGGCCCTTCGATACTACACAAAAATCTAAGTTGTAACCTCAATGATCTTCCAATGATTCTGACGACATGCACCGTTGATATCCGGTACGACACGTTTGGTAATGTAAAACAATGACCTTAATCATGCATATCACCCACCTCAGGAGTACAACGGAGACAGAAACGAAGCCAAGCAGCGGCATGGGTATGGAGTTGCGCATCTCCCGAATGGTGACATTTATCGCGGGTACTACAACGAGGGAAAACGTCACGGCAGAGGGCATTACCGCTTCAAGAAGAACGGTAGTCGCTATACCGGTGAATGGCAAGATGGCAAGAAGCATGGCCGAGGAGTATTTGTCTACCCCGACGGCACCAGATACGAGGGTGGGTTGATGCTCACCCCTTCCTCTATCTGCCCAGAGTTAAGAAAAGCTTACCAGGCTGATAGCTTCTCAGTTTACAGAGCCTCAACGAATCAGTCTCATGGTCAGGTTGTGAATTAACATAATCTGGCAATTGCTTACATGCAATATGCAGATTTTAATTACGATCACGGCCACCCTGACGCTGGACGACGGGGTGAGGGAGGGCAAACAAAAGAGAGAGGGTCTGGAAAGGTAGCGATGCCCACTTCTCTCCTGTGAGCTGTTTAAAATTCAGTTAATGATCATAAAACATGTATATTTGATTTTAATCAATCTTCAATCAATCTATCGTCTCACGAACGATCTAAAATCTGGTGGAACTATTACAGTTACTCGGACACATAATTGCAGTTACTGGTACAACTTTATGCGAACATGGAAGGTACTGCCAAAGAGATGCCCTCAGACATGATTTCATGCGACAGCAGTGACTAGAATAACAAAAACTGAGTAAAAGAGTTTCTTATGGCTTTCAACTATTCTTACGATCCTGTACGTCTAACCTCCACGATCTACAAAACTATGTAGCCTTGTAGATTGTGGGGGCTTACATCGCCACACCTTCCAGCCAGAGAAACTAGATTGGAGGCCCAGTGCCAGTGTTTACACCACTCCTGACACTAATTGCGCAATATTGCACCGGAAATGTCTTCCTCCAGACATTTTCCGTTCACTTCAATATCTGTATCATATCAACACATACACATAGACACACAATTAGGTATGATATATACATATATCTGATTTAAAATTCCGGTTAAAACATAAAAAAACAGTAAAACACAAATGTATATATTTACTAATGCATATGCACATATTGCATATATTTATTAATGTACTTGCATGTAGATATATGCTGCGTGTGTGTGTGTGCAGGGATCTCAAAACATCTTTATTTTCCAGGAAATTGGGAAGATGATATGAAGTCAGGCCAGGGTACGTATTACTTTGCCAACGGAAATAAATACGTCGGTGAATGGCGCGAGGATATGAGACAGGGAATGGGCATCTGTTTCTGCCCGGCTTCTAACTGCAAGTACGTCGGAGAATGGGAAAATGACCGACGGAATGGCAAGGTAAGCTATCTCTTTGGGTACTAGCTTGGTAAGGCTTGCTGATTTCGCTCTTGAACGCTTATCGCAACACAGCCATGCCAGACCATTGACTTTTCCTCCGTGCGTAAGCGGTCTTTGTCTTCACGTATTGCCCAGCTGCCTATTTATCTGTGCATGACAGCTGCATGCTCAACTCTGCGTGTAGGATGTGGGACTCTTGGCTCCGGGTTCGTCTCCAAATGACTTCAGAGACGGACATGAACAGTCACATAATTGTTGTCGGACGTCATCGGACGGTGGGCGTCACGGACATGTCTTCGATGACGGCAGAGCTGTCAATAACGGGCAGAGAGCGGTAAACGATGAATGTAATGTAGATATGATAGTCAGCCTATGTCAGTCCTTGTGAAACAAAGGTTTTCGAAAAATGAAATTTTTCAGTGCATTTTGGAAACCAATATTCAACATTTGCTTGCTAAGGACACAGCTTCAATGAGGGATTGGCGGCAAGAATTGCAGACATTTAAGAACATGTTCGTAAGGACGGATATGTTGATACGATTTTTGCCTGTCGGTTGTTAAAGAACTTATATTTTTAATGGTAATTAGCATGCCACACTTCTTCCCACCGGCGGTGAAAAGATTCGATGACATTTCTGATGCAGATGCGACATAACATACTCCCGTAGTTTGGCCGCGTTCCTGTTTGTAGGTATATAGATTTTACATAGCTTACACACCTTGAATCGTCCACCATGCATGAGCTTTGAATAGCATGGTCTTCAAAGCCCGCCTTACTCCATAACACACCGATGTAAGCAGAAATGTCGCGGACAGCACCTAACGCCCTCGCTGATCCACACCGTTCCCGGGCCTGATGTTGTTCTAAACTTCGGGAGAACGAAAAGCACGAAATGAAGAAACATGCACCTACAGTCACATTTTGTGCAATAAACTTATTCGGAGTTCAGTACGGGTGGATAAAAGGAATATCTGATATTTGAAGAGATTGAAGCATGAAGCGAAGGGCTGCTTCTTTCCATGCACTACAGGCAGTCTAGTGAAAAGTTTTCCGGAATGTTGGGGAGTTTGAGCCCACTGAAAACCCCCTCCGATCAAGTGATAGTTCCCGCACCCATGCGCTTCTCAGAGACAATGAAGTCGATAATTTTTAAGTTAACAGAATGAAAGATTTTACGCATGGGTGCACGGCTCAGTAGAGTAACGATTTCGATCTTGTAAGCATTTCGCGTCACCAATTTGACTGCATGAGGTCAAATTCGTGGTGCAAACAAAACTTCTGCAGAGTTTTGTGCGTGTGCAGCGTTTTTGGTACAGTCTACAGAAAGAGCACAGGTGACGGGATAGGAGAGACACTAAAAAGGGCCGCGAGAAAGGAAAGCCTCTTTCGACCGCACGTCGACTAAGGCGCTTCAGCCTAGGCCAAGTTCGTTTTTTTTTCCTAAGTTCGCGTCATCGAATGGTCTCCCGTTTCCCAGCAAAGCTGAGGCGTGTGTCGCAGGTCTACCTCTGCTCTACCTGCAAGGCAGATGCCGCAAGTTATCTGAGGTCTGAGGATCTGAGGTTCAAAATGATTAAAAGCTTTTGAGATTTTTTTGTGATGTAAGTTGAAATCTGCATCGGGACTCACCGCAGGCGGTACGTTTCTCAAGATAAAAGTTAAGCGAGGTGATCTTTGGTCAGTTACCACCCGTGATATTCATCACGACACAAAGTCTGTTGGGTCAAGATGCGAAGGCTGTTGGCATCTTTGAGATCAAAACAAGCAAAAGCTGCCTCAAAACCTGCCCTGCCAAGCAAATTCTCCTTTGAAAGGTTCACCTGTTATTATTGTATCCCCTTATGTCATAGTTTAGTAAGCGGTTAAATTACCTGTAACTGAGTTATGGTAGTCTACTCCAAAAACTTCAATATATCATGGATTACCTGCTTATGAAATGGCGCGTACTGCATAGCCGGAGAACTTTATGCTGAAACATAACTTTCCTGTTCCTTTTCTGATTTTTGTGCACGCAAATGATTTATTGTCCGTCCGCATTTCTGCCGACCAGTTGCTGGTTAATTAGATATAAATGCGTGGTCAGGAAAGCACGGCTGGTTTCATAAGGCATCTAGATGCAAGCTGCTTAATGTATCTTTGTGTCGCGGGCCTTCGAAATTATGAGAACTGGATATCGATAGCCGTGAGTCGGATCCATCCAAAGATTTCATACATGAAGTCAGATCACCAGATGAACATTCGGAAGCGTTTCTAATACAATCGAAGACATGAGGATGCTATGTTCCGGTTGTTCCGTGCTGGAATGCCTCGAATATATGTGTACCACATATGCGTACACCATCCGTCAGCAGCATTCGTACCCTCAAGCATTCTCGTCATCTGTGGCACCACCTGTCACCCGTATTGGCTGGCCGTGCTCTGTGCGCCGCGCACAATACCAGGCGGGATGTGCGCGCCCGTGCACAAACGCGTATCTCTGCCCGGCCGCCAGGGTACGCTGGTGCACGAGGACCACAGGTTCGATGGGTTGTGGAAGGACGACCTGCCAAACGGGCCCGGCTGCTACGTGTTCGGCGATGAGCTTGTACAGGAGGGAGTGTACATCGTGCGCGAGCAGGAGCTGAGCGACGAAGAGATGGGCCACAGCGTCGACGAAGACGAGCCCTCGCTCAATCTGGTGCCCATCTGGCGGGCAGAGAGGTGAGTGCGAGCACCAGAACGATCCATCGCCCACTCTAGTATCCACCTTGTGGGCAGAGAGACGAGTGAGAGCACAGGAACAAACTCCCGCCGGTGTCCGCACAAAAAGCCGACTCGCCGTTTGCCGAGTGCTTTTTATCGACTGCAATTTGACGGTTTCCATATTGGCGACTTTTAAAAGTCGACGGGCCCAAAAGTAGAGTCGGCTAAATGGGAAACTGCAAAACGGCAATATGGAGGAACGATGACATGCCAAAATGGAACTGCTAAATGACAAATCGCAAAATGGGGACATATCAAAAAGTCGACACGCCCAAATACCGAACAAAAAGTGGCAGGTTGCAGAATGGTTGCGCGCAAAATTGGTGAAGGGCCAAATGGTGATCAGGTTAACAATCATGTTTGAATATGGGCAAACAGCAACGTGCCAAAAACGACGAAAATCCTATTGGCAAGAAAACACAACCGGCTAAAGGGGTAAGCGCAAACGCACCACGTTCACCATGGCTACATGGAATATGACACTTCTTATATGATCTACTGGGAATGCTGCGTTTGCCTGAAATGAAAACACCAGAAATTTTTCCCTACCTCAAAATCCATGGCGCTGCTCGCCGAAGGAATGCTCGGATATGGCCGTGACTTCCTATGCTGCAACTAATCTAAAGCAGATAAGCTAAAAATCATCCCGTCGCAAAAATTATCGCGCGTTGAGACACTTGTCCAGGGGTGTGGTTCCCTATTCAGTTGGGGGAAGAGGCTTTAGCCCCCCCCCTCCCCCCCCCCCCCGCCACCTCCTCCAACTAAATCTGGGGGAAGGAACCTGTTTGTTGGCATATTTTGGGGCAGGTTGCGCTATTTTCACTGTTGAGCTCTTACCCCATGTTCAGAAACTACGCCCCTGTACTCACCATCATGTGAGAGGGACCTTTTTCGATCCAAATCTGGGACTCGGCTTATGCTCCTTTGGCACAATCACGGAGCTGATAAATGGTTTATTTCCACTGGCTGAGCGGGTGTGTTTCATCCCCTCTTCTCTCCCGTTGGCCTTCTCCAAACACCTGATCAAAGGCCCTCATTGTGTTTTGAAACCCTGTGAAAGCCAGGGAAGTTATCTTATAGCCTGTTTGACGCTGTTCATTTTACGTTGACCCCTTTAACATTTTGTTGGCTGACTTTTTGTTTCTGACCATTATTATTATTGAAACTTTTATCGGTTCTAGTTTATGCCCATTCCACCTCTTGCCTTTTCATTTTTATCTTTCTGACTTTTTGCTATTTGACTTTTTCCATTTCACTTCTTGTCTTTTTGACTTGTTGTCTCGTTGCCTTTTTGTGCATTTGAATTCTATTATGTTTGATTTTTTGCCATCTGACTCGTTGTCCTTTAAATATCATTTGACTTCTTGTGGCATGACTTTTATCTCTTGACCTTCGGTCCTGTCACTACAACCGCCTCTATCTTAATTACCGCTGAAATCATGTAATATAAGCTAGATAACAGTTGTACTTGAATGCCTTCAAATATTTGTTTTCGAAGTGAAAGCGCCGTTCAAATTAAAAACAACACAGATGTCTTGAATGCTTGCGTTATGATCACATGCATATACGATTCAGTATGCGCTTGTTTCCAAATATGCGACGCTGTTTCCATCACTAAAATTTTCTCCCGATCTGAATTTTCACGTACACATTTGGATGTGCCGAACCTGCATGTTCAGCTTTTGTGGTATTATACCATTCGAGTTTATAGAGCCAGACAGCCAGCAGGCAAACATTGTCCTGTCGTGTTTGTCCATGTTGCCATTGATTGAAACTGGGCCCCGTTATAGTTCGCCATTTCGACGTTCACCATTCTGTCATGGCGGCGGTTCGGTACGTCACCATTTTGCATTCTGACATATAGCCGCTCGCCAGTTCGGCATGTCGGCTTTTTTACTTTTCACTCTCCAGCAGTTCGCCATTTAGCCGATTCGACTTTTTTACCGGGTCACATTTTTGCATGTCGCCATTTGTCATGTCGCCACATCGCCTAGCAACTGGTGTCCATTAGAGACTAGAGAGGCTGGTGTATTGGGGGGAGAAGATGCGTCGGAGCATGCCGTTCCGGTGTCAGCCCTGGCAGTCACCTGAGACGTTGCGACACGCAATGTAGCTGGTCGCTTGAGAACACACTGAACAGTCATAACATGCGTCCGTCAGGCATCATGCACAGGCAAGCCGCATATGCAAGGCTTTGTTGGGGACCGGTCGTGGTTCTGCTTGTTAGCAAATTATAAACAAACAATGAACCAAATAATGTGCGTTTGTCTTAAGTGCAAACGAAGTTGGTCTATTGATGAGCGGATTGCCAATGGAATAGGACTGGCACACTAATCTTTTCAAAATGTCGCCCAACATTACGCCGTCTCCAGTCAGAGATGTCTGCTGCTTCAGAGTGCTGTGCGGTGAAGCAGCTGTAAACCGGATCCAGCACGGTCTGGTGGACTTGGAGAGGGTCGCCAGCCACGTCAGCATCGGCTCAGCGATGCTGGTGCCCGAGAAGCCTCCTCCCCCGCCGGCGGAGCCTGAACAGCCCGAGCAGCCGGAGGCCGGAGATGCGCCGGCAGACGGCGCTGCTGATGCGTCGGCAGACGGCGCCAGCGGCGAGCCGGCGGCGGACGGCGCCGACGCGGCGGCCGACGGCGCCGAGCCGGACCCGGAGGCGGACCAGGTGGGCGGCGACGAAGCGGAGCTGGAGGCGGCGGCGGCCGCCGACGAGACGCCGCTTGACTACACCATGGAGCTGCGCGACGGAGACCAGGACGAACCTTCCGAGGCGCCGTCCGAGGAGGCCGGCGACGAGGCCGAGACAACCAAGTCCGAGCTGGCCGGAGATGCGGAGGAGGAGGCGGAGGAGGAGGAGCAGGAGCAGTGAGCCGACGACAGCAGTGGCCGTGCCCGCCGGACAGAGCTCAGAGATTCAGATCAAGGCTGCGAAACATCGGCTTGGACGTCGGTCTTGGTATCGGCCACGCCGGCCGTGGCAGCAGTGGCCGTGCCCACCGGACAGAGCTCAGGGGTTCGGACCAAGGCTGCGAAACATCGGCTTGGACGTCGGTCTTGGTATCGGCCACGCCGGCAGTGGCAGCAGTGGCATGCTAGCGTAGGAAGAGGCGACAGTGACACGGACCGTGTGCACGGCGCATAGCTGCTCCACATCGGCCGGCGTTTGGCCCTGCCGGTAGGAAAGCATGACTACCTACTCCGCTATGTGGCTAGCAAAAGGGAAATTCGTGAATAATGTATGCGGTAGTGTTGCTCACCTGTTTTGTGTTGGTTTGATTGATTGCCATTATTTGATAAGAAAGAACAAAAGAAAGAGTGTAACCGATGGCCTGTCTGCGCGCAGTATCATTATGGTCAGTAAAAGCGATCTTCCAAAGCTTTCATCTTCTTTTGTGCCTACGTCATGTGGACAGATAATCGCGTGGCAGGTATGATGCACACCTTGTCTCATTTGTGTTGAATTGGAGAGTCTTTTTGGCCATTGTATGAAACTGCTCACTCCCGGTCTGTTCCTAAAATTTCCAGTTTTATGCGATTAACGGCAAAAACAGCACGCAAAGTGAAGTATGGCTGCTCTCAAATGCTTCCAATGTGAACAAGTGCAACAAATTTGTTTCATTTGTGTTTTCAGTATGCTGCCGCAACGCATGAGCGCCCTTCGCTTGTCACCACCACCGTCACGCCGCGGAAGCTTGTCACAATTGTGGGCTCGTCAGTTACCCGGCTCCGCCCCGTCTGCAGGCGCTGAGGGCATGCTATTCATGCGTGGCGCGCCCTCTCCCTGTCTATAAATACGGCCGTCGTCTGGCCGCGCGGCATCGGACGGCGCGACGCCGCCGCGTTGTCATTCGGAGACTCATTAGAGAGGGCGGCCGACATGTTGTTTTGCGGTGCCGGCGGCGGCGCGGCCGGTGATGGATCGGGGCTGGCCGGTAACCGGAGCGGTCGCCATCGGTCTCGTGCTGACGGCGGGCCGGTGGCGCCGGCACGCGCACCAGCTGACTGCCGGCCGCCGCTCGGCTAATGACGCCGACACGCGCTGTCTCTCCCCGCACACGGGGCACCGAGGAGAGCCGCCGGTAACCCCGCCACTAGGGGCACGGAGGGCAGCGTACCACCCCGCCATACCGGACACCAGGCCCAGTATCCCGTGTGGGCAGCACACGCTGTCTTTACCCCACACACGGGGCACCGAGGAGAGCCGCGGGTTAACCGGCCACAAGGGGCACGGGGACAGCGTGCCGTCCTGTCATACCGGACACCGGGTCCGATGTCCCGTGTAGGCAGCACGCGCTATCTCTCCCCCGCACACGCGGCACCGAGGAGAGCCGCGGGTAACCCCGCCATTATGGGCACAGGGGACAGCGTGCCGCCCCGCCATACCGGACACCAGGCCCGATGTCCCGTATGGGCAGCACGCGCTGTTTCTACCGCACATGAGGCACTGGGAGAGCCGAGCATGAACCTGCCACACGGGCGCCGGAGCGCGTGTCAGCTCACCGCAGTGGACACCGGGGACAGTGCATCAACACATCCACGGGACACCGGGGGCAGGGCATTAACACATCACACAGGATACCGGAGACAGTGCATTAACACATCACACAGGACGCCGGGGACAGGGTATTACCTTGCTAGACGGGACACCAGTGGCAGTGTATAACCTGGCAAGACGGGACTCCTGGGCCAGGGCATTACCTCGCCAGGCGGGATACCACGGGCAGTGTATTGCTCACCAAAAAGGACATCGGGCACAGTGTATTACCCCACCACACGGGACACCAGGGACAGTGTATTGCCAATTCCAAGGGACAATGAAAACATTGCATTACCTCGCGACTTGGGACACCGGGCACCGTGTATTCCGCGCTGGACGGGACACCAGGGACAGTATTTTGCGTTACCAAACGTAGCACAGAGCAGCGTATCACATTACCGCACGGGACACTAGACAGTGTGTTATCCCACCGCGCGGAACACCGGACAGTGTATTATCCCACCGCGCGAAAAACCGGGCAGTGTATAATCCCACCGCACAGAACACGGGCAGTGTGTTATCCCAACGTGTGTTACACCGGGCAGTGTATTATCTCACCGTGCGGAACACCGGGCAGTGTGTTATCCCACCGCGCGGAACACTGCGCCGGTGTATTGCCATGCACTACTTGTCACCAGATCACACGGAATAGTCCCGAACGCCTCGAACAAACGTTACGCATATTGGGGCCGCATGAAAACAGATAGCGTTTTCTTTTTTCCTGTCTTTAAGCACTGCCGCAGAGTATGGTTTGGCAAAGGTGTAGTAAGCCACACTACTCATGCAATAATTCAGGTATTTGAAGCCTAAAACGTTACAAGTTTACAGCTCCATAGATACATGGCATTCCCATTAGATTCTTAGCATGGAGCAGGGCCCCGGCAATTAACTGTCTCCGCCATGTGGCCCTTCCACTGATCCCGGCCGTGAGCGAGCCATGCCTGCCCAAATCTCACTGCTATGTGACTCATCCCCTTACACCTGAGGCTGAAGCTCGGTGCGTCGCCCCCCCCCCCCATCCCCACCTCCCCGTTCTCTTCCCCGCCCCCTCCGCCCCGGACCAGGCGCCGATTTCGCCGGCGTCTGCGATCCGGGTAAGGTTACAGTGCCGACAGCGTGGGAGCCGGCAGTTCCCCGCCTCCCCTCCATTTGTGGTGGCTAATGGCCCGCATGTGACACCGGCTAGACCAGCGCCCGGGCATCCCGCCGCCTATCCCACTCATCGCCGAGAGAATGCGTGCATGCATCACAAGCCCGAGCTGCGTATTATCAAGGTATCGGGAACATGGTTGGGATTGTCATCGTCCTTCAGCGGTGAATGCCCTTTTCGTTGCGATCATGCGCATAAATCAGCGACATTGGGTAACGTCTGAATTGTATCAAAGTGGCTTCATGACTCCAAAGCATGTCTTAAGCAAATTATTGATAGCTTAGACCCCGCTCGTGTTCATCTTGTTTCATAACGCGTGCGAATAGGTAACGGGGCAGGGGGCAATGCAGCCAGCCCTCTCTGCAGCCCTCTGCAGCCCTCTCTGCCATTTGAAAACCAAACACGACAGAGCCTAGTGGAAAAGAACAACAGTAGCTGGATTCAGTGAGACCTCGCAATTGGACGCAAGTTTTGTGTCGCTGAGACAACAAGGAGCTTGTGAGATTGGGGCTTTACGACGCAGTCAGCTGTTGAGGCTTTAAGGCGCCGCCTGCCTCTCTCCCTGGCAGGAAGGGCGGGCGCCGCGTGGAATTGAATCCATTAGCTCTGGTTTCCCAAACGCGCAGCTTAAAGGGAATGTTCCACATCTGAGAATATTGAAGCAGGCCAGTTATGATTGAATAGGCTCACTTATAACTTTAAGTATAATTTTAAGTGTAAAATACTGCTCTTGACGACCAAATTTCTCTATTTAACAGACACGCTCCTAAATACGTCATTGTATGATTGTGATACGGACTGTCTGACAGCACTCACGTGTAGTTCTTTAATCTCCCGGGAGGTGGCTGCGCCGCTGCTGGATGTGCGCTGAACCAAACGGCATTAAAGCGATCGTGCCTAGCCCTTTCTCGTGGTGATCTTGCTGGTTTAGCTGTGATTGAGGTGCTTACTTGTATTCTCATACTCGCTCTAAGCGATGTTCTTCAGTTAATTGCTTGCAAATCTCATTATCGTAAGGACTAGGAAGAATGTATAACTTCTCGTATTATGTAGCACAAAATGCGATTCATGTTAGTCTTACATAGGTTGCGCAATACTGGTTGAGGGCCAGTTGACGGCCGTTATATCTGGACATCGTGCTCACGAACGCCTGATATGAACGACTCGACAATTATATTTTTCTTCACCTTGAACGCTACATGACCAGTGGAGTGGCAGGCCTTAAATTACGTCATAATGGCGTCATGGATGCCTTGGTAACCTTGAAATAGTTTGCACGAAATCTTCTGCGCAGTTTCGCGCGCGTGTAGTTCAAAATCTAGATGGTTTTCAATCCTAAGAAGGGCAGGGCTGTAAACTGTACCGAATGATCTGCAAGATGGCTCTTTCAGCTCAAAACCCCATGTAAATGTGGATCACTTCCTTTAACTTCTACACTATCGGCATCCCCAATAGACGTGCCACTGGTCCACGATGAGGGTAAATTTGCCCCGAAACGCGTGCCATGACAGCTTTGCAAGTCAGTTGGTACAAAACAATGCGCCGCAGCACCATGCGGCTTATATAGTTGGCGTTGAGAGGCGAGAGGACGCGGCCGTGCCGACCGCCCCTCCCGGCGATAGCTCGGCCAATGACTTCGGTCACACGGCCCCAGAGCGCCACAGCCGCGTGGCGTCTGGAACGATGGAGGGCATCCGCGCGACCGATCTTTGCTTTACCAGCGTGCTACAATCTGGGCTTCTTCTGAGAGCGTGACTTCTGCAGTCTCAGCCAGCGTCTCTCAACCATCGAACGGGGACTGATGGCAACAGTGGGTGCTTTCCTCTCAGTGAGTGAGTTGAACTGCGATCTTCTAGTGCGGGGTAACCGTCAGGGAGCGGCGGCATGGACGGCTGTGCTCGCCAGTCTTCCAGCCCGCTGGGCGATCGTCCGGACCTCGCTTTGATGCAGCAGCTGTCTGTGTTGGACGTGGCTCGGTAGCAGGGCGCGCCCTGGCCCTCAGCTTCCGCCTCCGCCTTCGCCTCCGCCTCTGGCAGACGCAACCGGTCGGAGTCAGGCTAGGCGCCATAGGCCACGAAGCACCGAAATCGCAGCGCCCTTTGAGTCGCCAGGGTAGCAAACGGTAGTCAGGGCGGTAACCAGCGCGGCACCCAGCGCGCCGGCCGAATTGCCGAACTGGAGG